GACCGCCTCTGTCTCTCTCGTTCTCCGGCGTCTCCCTTCGGTCCCCGCGCGTCCCTTTCATCAGCCACGCTACCGATACCGCGCCTCTAAAAATCGTTACCGCTCGTACGATCAACCAGGCTCCGTTATCGAAATACCTAATCGCTCTTTGTAACGAGCTTTCGTTCGAACGAAACGAAAAGCGAACGACGAGTATCTTTGTACGCCGGGCCTGGCGCGTGCGACCGCGAGACGGTTCCTCGCGAAAACGGGAGAGCAAGATTTCGAAAAGTTTCTTCTATCGGTTGCCTCTTACGTTCGTCGAGAGTCGACCGGACCGTACGAGCGAACGAAATTACGCGCGCGCCTATAACGCCAAGAGAGGAGAAACGTTTTCGTCGATTTTACGATCGAATTACGCGAGCGTTACGAGGAGGAAGAGGATTAAAAAGGTGGAAAACGGAAGAGGAAAAATCAGGCTTAGCCGCAAGCTAAACCGGAATTGATTCGACCTTGCAAAAAGGGGGGTAACGCACCCCCGAGCAGGGTATCCAGCTGCGCTCGAATGACTAATACGCCAAACGTTCGTCGGGGTGCGAGCAGATTTTCAGGGGTGGAAACGAGCTGAATCGAATCCGAGATCGAACGTACACGCGCTTCGCACCCTTCCCCGGTTCTGTCCGACTCGTTGTCGACCGGTGGACGACTATGAAATTTTCCGCCTCCATATATACTTTCGCCCTTTCGCGCAAACGTGATCGCTGGAGGCACGACCAAGACCGCGACGAGATACGATTTAACGACTCTTTGTCGCTACGAACGAAGCTGCGCGACGATCGAACGGGGTCTCGCGGTTCGTGGAATCACCCCGAAAGTCCAGTAATAATTCGTCGAAAATTACACGGCGATTTTCGAGCCCGGTTACCGATTCGTCTCGCGTTTCACGACTTTGCCAACCCTCGGCTGGGGCGAGAGGAACGACCGAGGGATCGTCGGCCGAACGATTATCCGTCCGTTTCGGAC